TAAGGAACAAAGGTTGACTCGGAAGTAAAGCCACAGGTGTACGGTGAATGGCCCCTCCCATAGGGAATAAAAGAGGAGCAAAAGGGGAGTGGAGTTTGCAGGAGACAATTAGTTCAATTCATTAGACTGAAGATCTGTTCCTGACTTCTTGCCAAGTGTTGCCTGCTACAGAGTGGCGTTTGGAAGATATCGGCCTGGCAGCTCTCCAAGCCCGATAAAGGTCTGCAGTTATGAAATCTCTTGAAAGACTGTTGGCTGGGACTTTGTGGGAGAGGAATTCCCTTTAAACTAAATAAAAGGAGTTTTATCGTGACGAGGAGTCAGCTTTGTGCTTTTGGGAAGCCTAGATCAGAACAACACACTCCTATTTTGCAGATAATTCAGCCTATTCTTTTGTTGGTCTCCTGGAATGTTGTTCTCAGTTGACAAATATCATGGGAATGATCAACAAATAGAGGACATTTGAAGCATGAATTCTGCTAGTTTTGAGATTCCTGTTTATCTCTGTACACAGAGGTGGAAAGGACAATCCACCTCTGGATTACCAAAGATTTTTGATATATCACAAATATTCCTAAAAGCAACCTTGGAGGGGTTGCGAGCCCAGGTAGGCCTCAAGTTACGACCACAATAGACCCCAAAATTTTTGTTGTTAAATAAGACATGGGTTAAGTGAATTTCTCCCCATTTTACAACCTGTCTTGTCACTGTTGTCTTGCCTTCGGTTGTTCCCTGAAGCCTCATTGCATCATCTCAGTTGCACCACACCCTCCAGGCTTCAACCAAACTTGACTTCAGGACAAACATGATCCCCCTACAACCACCAATACAATACATGCCCTTGTACAGGAATGGGAAGCTCAAGTTCAAAGCCCAAAGAGGGTATAAATAGCCCTCATTCTCGGCTCCATGTGGTCAGCTGCCCAGGATCTCAAAACCATGGGATCCTGTCCATCGATAAGCCACCTTTCCAATCAGCCTCCATGTTATCCAGTGTCTTTCTCCCCACTTGGAACTGAACCAGATGGATATTTCTTCAACAGTAGCATTACAAGAATCAAATCCAAAAAGCTGAGAAAAATCCGTGGCCTCCTGTGCTGTGCAACTCAACGCAGAGATAAATACCAGAGTTTTACCTGGAAGAACAGAGAGCATCTCACCTTTGTTTATATCGGCCTGGGTAAAACTTTTGGCTGGTCCCCGAGCAGAGATCTGTGTCAAAGAATCTCCCTCATGCAGGTGCAACGATCCATAGGTTGGGTCCTTCTTCACGATGTATTTGATGGACAGGTCATCTGAATCAGGATCTGTGGCTCTTAAATGCTGGCTTGTAATGACTGCCACCGACCCTAAGGGGTGGGAACAAACAAGACACCAACAATATTAAGCTTCTTGCTTAATTATTCCGGGAATGAAAGCATACTTTCATACCGACCCACAGCTGACTTTTGACCACCATTTGTCAGCTGTGACCAGGGGGGCATTTGCCCAGGTTCGCCTGGTACGCCA